GTAAAAATTTCACAGATATCATTTTAAATACCCATAGTTTATGATAAAAATGTTTCAAGCAGACAAGAGACAGTCGAGCAGAAGGCCTCTGATGATTTGAGGAGGAACAACTCAGCTGTAGCTAACATGCTAACATTATGACATTAAGCAGGTCAAATGCATCCCAGTTCACCTTTTCTGCAAAAAACAGCAACTTGCTAATAAACATTAAACATAAAAAACATTTTTGCAAGTATTTGGTCATAAAGTAAACTACTGGTTGAAAAAAAATGCTGACACTACATAAAAAGTGATGGGGTGTAAAGTATATAGTACGATGTCTTCTGAGGAGGATGTGAATGTCTATGCAACTTTTAAAAATAGTACATTCAATAGCAGCTTAAGCATCTCACTTAAAAGTGCATATTTCAGTCTCGTTGTGGGGTTGGAGTTGGGGAACAACAAAGTCAGTAGGACTCATCATCAGGCGACTTCATGCCTGTATAACATGTCATGACAATTAATATGATGACTGATGAGATGTTTTAGTTATGATCAAAATGGGGGGATGGCTGACCAGCTCACCAACAGACCAAATGACTGACACTGAGCCGTACCACCAGAGTGTCTGAAAAAACTGCAAAAATGATTTTAACAATCTGCTGAACGTGTTGCATTAATGACAATCTTCCGATGTCTTTTATGGAGAAATAATCCTTAGTTTGTTTTACTTAATGAATGCTGAGATCATGACAGAAAATCCCCCAAAAATAATGAGGAGTAAAAGTACACAATGTAAACCTGCTTTATTTTAAATCCTGTCAAGCTGCAATGTGTTTTTATTTCACTTTGTTGAGTGAAGTCTGTAAATACTATTTAAATTGATGCCTGGCTAATTTTGAAGCACTGCCATTGAGTCAGTGTCATAATTTTAAATATTTTAACTTCAATTCATTCCAAACATTCCTTGTTATTCATGTATTCAGGTCCCTTCATCATATGTCCATGTAAGAAATGTTCCTGGGAGAAGCTTCTGACAACAAAATTGTCATTGCCTTTGTAATCTTTAGGCATTCTGAAATTGAAGGCATTACAAAGACTATATATTATTTAAAAACTGGAGCAAAACAAACAACTTCTGTGCAGCACAAGTTTGTACTGTGAATAAGATATGACACTGCGAATTTGTTTGTTTTGGGGTTTTTTTTCAACAAATCAGACCTCCCTTAATGAATTTTCTTCACACACCAAAGATGTGCCTCTCAGGTGAGACAATAAGCTAATAATGAGCTACATATCAAATGTGGCCAAGTGTCACATTTGATCACCGCTTGTGATGCTGCAAATGACTTTGCAAGACTTCTCAATTTCAAAACACAACAAAGCATATGTAAGTAAAAGACCTCAGGATACAAAGAAGTTTTGAGAAGAAAAAAAGACAAAGAGAGAAGACAAGAGAGAAACAATTTAAAAACAGAAAGGAAAGAAAACCCAGTGAATTCAACTGAGAGTCTATGCTTCATCTGGATTAAAACTAAACTAAGGGATGTAAAGAAACTCTTTAAGTTAGAAAATACAAATATAAACAATTACACACACACTTGTAATATTAATTAATGTCAGTCAAATTGGGAGGGATAGCAAGTATCCTATTCTTTTAACATCATTAGTGTTTATGTTGTTTACAGCTATAATGTCCTCCTTGTAAACCTGCCATTATCGTTCTCCATCCACCATTAGCAGAGAGAGTATTGGTAGAATATACGTGAGCCTGACTCATTGATTATTTCGCTAACTGACGTTTGCACAAGTTAAAATCTTTAGAACCGATGATGGATCTGAAATATCAGCGGCCCAACTGTGCCGTGTATGGATAAATCCATGTCGCTGTCCAAGGTGCTGAAGTAGAAGACAGATTTTCTCTAGTCAGTTTCATCTTGGACCTGTAATATCCTTCAAACCAGACATCACCAAATGACGGACCTCGGTCCGGATCAGGACCGAGTGATGACAGTGGCCGCTGCTACTCCAGTTAATACAGCAATAGCTCCACTCAGTCAAGCCAATCAAATCGTTTGGTGACCCTGCACGGCCAGCACACAGCCACAGCTCGCTGCCACTTTGCGCTTGCATATACAGCAGAGCAGAGAGGAAGAAACAGTGATGACAGCATGGCTTGGTCCAAAAGAAGGAAGGTTGATGAGGAAAGCCACTGCTTTGAAGATGAGTGGACAGAGAAATGTAGGTTCTTCTTCATTCTTCCGTCAGGCAGTTCACAACCAGTGTGCCTCACATGCTCTGAAAACGTGACATTATTTAAAAGAGGTGCCACTACGAAACAAAGCACAGCTCTTTTGAGCAAAGTTATCCCCTGAAGTCCGAGCTGAGGGGACACAAAATAACCGAGTTGCAATGTATGACAGATCTATCCGACTCATCACACACATTTACAGCCCAGCAACGTGCAAACAAAACCTTTTATTTATTATTTTCTGAGGATGTTGACTTTTTTACTTGAAGTGGAGGCCTTCAGTTCTTCAGCTTTGTTCGCACTTTTTAAAATGTATTTTATTCTGAGGTTTTTGTTTTCTCTAATCTGAAATAAAAGCCTCTTTTTTTTTTGCCTGGGACTACACATATATATATACATATGATAAACGAGTTAACTTTGCACTCAGTTAAACACATCCTGAACTTAAAATTCACAATAAGTATTGTCGAAACCATGAAAATGTTGCCATAGGGGAAGACTGTAAGACACAAACTGGACTTCAGTTCAGACCTTTTACTTGGAGGAAATTTTAATAACTGGACCTCAGTGACTTTTAAATGAATACCCCTGCTCTAAACTATACAGTACACAATAAATAAATAGATGTTTGGTGTACCCTGGGAGGACTTCAACTTGCAATCACTGCACTGAGCAAGGCTGCTACCATTATGTACATCTTAATGTAAAGTTTATATCATCAAAACTACAACGTTTGAAAAATAACAATTACTAAAATGCTTTATATCTACATCTAGTAAAAGAACAGGCCCACATGCATCTCAATTATAACATCAAACATGAGACAGGACGTGTGGGAGCATCCCCTCTGTTAAAAAAATAACTCACCAACTGGCTACAATCAATATTTTTACATTTACAATGAATCAGATGTCTATTTTTACTGTGAAGGCAGCTGGTGGTGGACCGACAGAAAACTGTTACACAACTGTGTTGTTCCCTTAAAGTCTACAGTCTTGCTGAACCTCATTTCCCACCACAGCAGGCACTTCTATTCAGCAAAGAAAAGACCAAAAAAAAAGACACTTTACCTGCTCAGAGTGAAACAACAGACAGATTTAGCAACTAGCTGTTAAACACAGTGGAACATTTAGCATCTAAAGAGTGCAATATTTCCCTCAGGAGTAGAGACCAAAAACAGGGTTAAATGAGGAGTGACACTGAACTTGTGCTCACCATGTGGCCAGAAACACAACTCCAAATGAATGATAATGTTGCTCTGTATCCACTGGATGTCTGGATAAGCAACAGTTTGCCAATAAGTTGGTTTTACAGCTTTGTGGAAAGTCAAACGTACAAATGTGCTATCACCAGACATACATTTTCATCTATATGTCACAAAGCTGATGACCATATTCCAGTTCAATCAATATTAACATCCTTTATTTAACCAGGTAAAAAAAATCTTTGAGCTTTAAAACATCTTTTTTAAGAGTGACCTGGCCAAGATGGCAGCCAATTGATGGAGATAAACTGATTCTACCAACAATCAGTGAGTGAATTGCAAACTAGTCGTTATTAATTCAGAGGTCACTAAAGACATAACAGGCAAGGACAAGAGGAGCAGGGTCTTAGCTAATAAGTAGGTGAAAATTATTAAATCTTATGGGTAACAAGAGCAGGGGATGAACAATAGTGTGCACTGAAATATGTGAGTAGGTACAAAAGATAGTAGGTGAAAAGAAAAACAGGATTTAAAGTTACACTCACCGAAGTACTTGATCTCAGCAGATTAGGAATTATTACATAATCTGTCTGAGCTGATCTGTTTCATAGTACTTACAGTAAATCAGGTGCAGTAGATAAATTGTTATTGAGTATTCAAGCCCATAAAACAGTATTTCTACTGTAAAATTCCCCGAAGCACAAGGACACATGAAGAAGCACGTTTAAGATGCAAATGGCAAAAAGACAAATACTCAGGGAATGTCAATGAGGTGGATCAGGGGCTCTCCAATGGTTATGATATAGATTTATGTGCTCTGACATCCCACAGATGGTGTGAATTAGTGAGGGAGGGGGGTGCCAGCATGAGGTCAAGAGAGATGACCTGGCCTTCAGCCTGCCACTTGGGAACCCAAAGCAACAGACATGTGAAGCTGCTGCTGCTGCTGCTGCTGCTGCTGCTGCTCCTACCTTTGAGTTGTAGCACTGCAGCAGCTGTTATTGAAGCTACAGAAGAGAAAGTGCTCCCGTAAACTGCTCTAATCTCATCACCCTGAGAGATAAACAGCACTGAAAGGAGCCACAGCAGCACAAACGTGCATAAAAGCAGAACGGGTGATAGAAATGCTACATTGATTTTGACAAAGAGCAGAAAAAGAATTTTGTAAATATGAAGACACACAAACCAGATCAAATGGATTTCTAAATGTGTAATGATTGATTTTTTTCCTTCGTTGCCTCGAAATCATTTTGCATTTGAGACTAGTTTTCAATGAGCCAGTGCTTACCGGCAATATGAAAGATGATATAAAGGATTTTTTTTTTTTTGAGAATTACAGGTAAAGAGCAAAGGGCTTCAGCTTTATGAGCAGCTAACAAGAGACGTCTGATGCTCCATAAACTGACAATGAAGCGCTGGGAATTAGCAGATTGCCTGAAGAGACAGCTACCATATGTTTAACAGAATGAGGGGTGGAAATACAGACTTTAAGAGAAGTGCGGGATCCAATAAACAGGAAAATCATATCAGCTTTTGTAAATATGCACAGAGGATGAGAGGTCTCACCTGATTGATGTGTTTCAGCTTGTCAATGATCTGATTTATGACGGGATCTGCTCCCTTCACTTTGACTTCAGGGTTGGCGCTCTGAGCTTTGATCCCATTGCCGACAACACGGAGGGTGTAGCTGTGGACAGTGAACAAAGCCACCTGTAAATATTTTTTATACATTTTCCAGTCATGTTGCAGCTTACAATCAGAAATATCAGTGGTGGAGTGCAATCAAACACAAGTACTCTACAGATTCCTGTACTTTATTCCAGTGCTTCTGTTTCATAGCACTTCTATTCCACAGAATGCTGTACTCTTTACAATTACTGTTTTGATAGGTAAAGTTAAGAGGTCATTTTCATATCTGAGGTTCATAAAGCATCATGCTGCTACACCTGGTATGTTGCATTTTTCTCTAATCATTTAATTTAAATGCTTGAGCACCAACCATGTTACACTTTTTTTCCTCAAAAAACAACAAAACAAAGATTACTGAAATTTTTTTAACAATGAGATTTGTATGGCAAATATTCATTTTTACTTCATTCATATCAAATTCAAAGCATCGTCAATTCCAAGCAAACAATAAGTTACTCCCTGACAACATCCAATTGTTCCAAATTAGAAGTTTTTTAGGAGAAAATTTCAATTTTAAAAAGTAATTTGCTCGCACCACCATTAAGAATAGATGTCTCTCCCTTTGTGGGGTAAATTTATGGAATAGTCTGGATGATGATCTCAAAGGTAACACAGCTATAAAACAAATGTACAAAAAAGACTGCTTCAAAAATATAATCGCGTAAAGCAGCAACAGTGTTCTTTTTTTTAAAGATGCATAAAAGCCAAATGTTTAAAGCAAACAGGAAACAGTAAAATATAAGATGTAGAGACATGTAGCAGGTAGTGGTGAACTAGTTAAACTTCATCCTACCTGACATTATTTTAATTTATTTGGAGATTTCTTTTCCATTTTGGGTGATTTATTTTCTTTTTCTCCTTTTTTTTGCCCTAATGTTAATGAGGCATGTCTTAAATCAATCAAGAAATCAAATCAAATTACCCTGAAACCTCACAGATTTATCTTATGATGCTGCAGAGGGGGCAGACTGATAGCAGATTGATATCCAGGTGACTAAACAGTAGTAGTTAGTTCTATCTGGACCAGCTACAGTGAAGCAACAGTAACAGCAATCTGATAGCATCATATTAGTAAAAGGTGGCAATTTTCTGCCAAATATCCACAGGTGCATTTCATTGGTCGCATTTCTGTACTTTTGCTTTGGAACTCTATTAACTGCAGTGTTGCTGCCTCTCATGGTATATTTTTTGATTGCAGTTTTGGTGCCTATATTTTAAAAGACGAAATATTTCTTCGACCACTGAGAAATGCATCAGTAATGTATCAGAAAAGCAAACCCGAAACGCTCACACTGAATTAAATCCAATCTATTATCTCTTCTCCTTGTGGGAAGCAATAGTAAAAGATGATAAATATTCTGAACTCACACAAAGGTGCTGGCATAATTCATTTTCAGGCATACCCCAGGGTTAAAGTGGGATTTGTGATGCGGGGGAAAACATGATTCACTGCACGTGTGTGCATAAATGTGTGTCTCTGCTATAGTGCTAAGGCTGCACATTACATGTATGGCTTATAAAAACTATACATCAAAGCCTTTATGATACGTCTTAGAAATGAAACTATTAAACAACATTGTAGGTCCAGCAGAACGTACACAACTCTTCATTTATGATTTGTACCTGAACGTTTCAATATACGGCATTAATCCTTGTTTTAAAGCAGTTCATTGTTGTTATAGCTTGGTAATAGGCTTCAGCTCACCTCAAGGACTCCTCACTCTTTAGTTTCAGCACAGTCTGTCAGCTGTAATGCCTCTGACCATGGCAGCCGGTGACTGAACACAATTCACTCACATCTCAATGTCCAGCTTATCAAACTACTCGATCAAGAAAAAGTCACTTTTGTTCTGATATAGAGGGAACGGAGACCATCACGAAGGTGCTGACAATGGGATGGATGCCACTTTAACTCGAATATCTCAGTTTGAGAATTGAAAATAAAACATTAGACACAGTCAGTGGCTCAAATGAGGTGGGTTGTGGCAGCCAACATAAATTAGCTGTGATCATTAAGCAATTCAAGGTCAGAATAAAGTGTGAATAAATAAAATGCAGGAAGCAGGGGAGCCTAGTTTATTTAAAAGAAAAGGTAGGAGGAATAATGTAACTTTAGTAGGATGTCCAGGTCCTTGAGATGTAATTTTGATGTTAATTTTCTGCAAATAAGAGCTCCCAAATGTAATTAGTTTTAGAAGAATACAGCCACCATTCAGTGTCCTTTTTTCACTTTTTATCAGCACTTAGTCTGTTATTAGGTTCCTTCTTCTCTGTTCTCTGTTTGTGGCCTCTGTGCTCTTTGCTGCTGCTGTGGCTGCTGTCTTTCTTCTGGCAGCCATGTAAAATGAAATATTAAAGTCAACATTTCAAGTCTGTCTGCAGTAGCAGCATTTAGAAAACAGATGCAGATTGCCAAAGTTAGATTTCTAAAAAGTGTTTGACATTGTATCAAAGTGAAAAAAAAATAAAAAATACAAATAATAAACGTAATTCAAGCTTCTTCTTGGCTTCATTTTTTCAACGTGTGATTCTTTTTTTTTTTTTTTACTTTCTTTGAAATTTGAATGTATTAAAAGTCAAAGTTATTCCACAAGCAAAGGGTTGCATCAAAAACTTACCAGAAAGTGAATGTTGTTGTCAAAAGATCATTTTCAACACAACTTAAAGTCCATGTATTTTTGAAAACCTTAATAAACTGTCAGGCAAATGTTTACTCAGGAGAGCAAAGATGTTTAATATGAACTTATTATTACTTTTTGTACTGTCTGAATCTTCTAAACAACTCTTTAGCTTTTATGGGGTTATTGAGGTTATTGTATTTGTCCCTAAACACCTCAGAAACGCACTATCGAACAAGATAGCTACTCTAGATGGCATTGTCTTGGCCTCAAGTTCTACTGTAAAGAACGTTGGAGTTGTTTTTGACCAGGACATGTCGTTCAATAGAAATATCAGGAAAATCAGGAATATTCTGTCTCAGAGTGAAACTAGCCTTATTATCAGGATGTCTCAATAACTCTCTCAAAAACCTCCAGCTGATCCAAAATGCTGCATCCAGGGTTCTGACAGGAACCAGTAAGAGAGTTCATATTTCTCCTGTATTAGCTTCTCTTCATTGGTTCCCTGTAAAATCCAGGATAGAATTTAAAATCCTGCTTTTAACATTTAAAACTCTCCATGACCAAGCTCCATTTTACCTTAAAAATCTTATTGTACCGTATCATCCTAACAGAGACCTTCACTCTCAGACTGCAGGTCTTTCTGTGGTTCCAGAGTTTCCACAAGTAGAATGGGAGGCAGAGCCTTCAGTTATCAGGCTCCTGTCTTATGGAATCAGCTCCCAGTTTGGGTTCGGGAGGCGGACACCCTCTCTACTTCTAAGATTAGGCTTAAAACGTTCCTCTTTGATAAAACTTATAGTTAGGGCTGCTCAGGATCACCTGAACTGTCCCTTAGTTATGCTGCTATAGCTTTAGACTGCCAGGGATTCTAATGATCATCTCATCTCATCTCATCTCATCTCATCTCTCTGCAGACGTCTCTGGATCCGGTTTTCCCCACCCCTCATCCCCACTCTCACCCAACTGGTCAAGGCAGATGGCCGCCTTCCCTGAGCCTAGTTCTGCCAGAGGTTTATTTTCCCTCTCCTTTGGGGGGGTTTTTGGTTCCTTCCCACCATTGCCAACCACTTGCTCAGAGGGAGTCCAAAGGCTACTTTGGATTGTTGGGTTCTCTGTTTAAATTTGTAAGGTCTATACCTTACTTTGTTAAGTGCTATGGGATGACATATGTTGTAAACTGTGCTATACAAATAAAACTGAATTGAATTATCGCCAGTAAATGGTAAATGGACTGCATTTATGTAGCGCTTTTCTACCTTAGCGGCACTCAAAGCGCTTTACAATGTTTTCTTATTCACCCATTCACACACACATTCATACAACAACGGCGACAGAGCTGCCATGCAAGGCGCTGCTTGCCGTCAGTGTCCAGTGTTTAATGTCTTGCCCAAGGACACTTCAACTGTGGAGGGGCCGGAGATCGAACCACCAACCTTTCAATCAGAGGACAACCGCTCTACCACCTGGGCCACAGCTGCCTTGTAGTCAGGCAATGTTTCTAAGTATGAATGCTGTTTAGCTGCTGCTGAGAAAATTCCAGCGACAACGTTTGTTCCAAACACCAGCAAATCACCAAAAACTCACTCACACAATATCCAAATATTCATCAGGAGTGAACACACTGTATTCAAAGTCTGATGGAGTCCCGGCAAAATAAACCCACAAACATCCATCAGCTGCCAGCCAGTCAGGTGCAGCTCAGTGCTAACTAGATGTGTGTTGGATCGATCAGTTTAAACCAGAAAAGGATTAATCCTGAACATTTCACAAGTTAACCCTCTGAACTCACAGCCATTTGTGGGTGTTTTTGTCACATTGTTGTTCACTGTGGGCTCATTTTCACTGCAGTATGAAGTCTTGCACCTCTATGGAAACAGCACAACAATGAAGAAGGAGAGAGAACTCAGAAATGTCTTTGGTGCAAAAGAAAAAAAGGGAATTTCTTTGAAGGTACAATATCTTTTTAGAAGAAAATAGATATTTTTGCCTGCACGCACTTGGCACTATCTTCTGAAAAGCAAGAGCACAGGCACTGTTGCAAGTCTTGAACAGAAACAATATTATACAGTATAATTTCATGTTAAGTGGACCAAGTTGTTCTGTGTTTGTAATGTTGAGGGAAAAAAATATTTTGTAAGGGTTGTATAAAGCAAAAGGTGGTTTGAAAGTGTGTCACATGACCTGCAGTTTCCATTGTGGCCACACAGCCTGGTGATGTTGCTGAGGCACCACTTTTTTTAAAAAGTGACACAAAAAGACACAATAATGGACTTCTAAGTGGTAAGAAAGCAATCAGAATCTTGATTTTGAGCACTTATTTGTACACTTGCAGTACTTCAAGTATTAAAGGTTTTGCCCAAGAGAAGTTTTTCTCTCA